TATATATATATATATATATATATATATATATATATATATATATATTATATGCAACTATAATTGTGTAAATACAGTTATACGTAAATATAGGCACTCCTATATGTACATACACAAAGGTACACATACATATTATACAGGTGCATGTAAATGTTCAGGCACTCTTGAATCTTTAAGTAAACAGAAAAGAGAGACTCAAAAAGCTACAGGGGAAAGGAAAAGACCAGAAGACCTCCACCAGCAATCAATACACAGATCAGAAGAGATTAGCACTAGGATTAATTCTAGACTAGCAATTAAGCAGTGAACTCAGTCAAGGAGCTACCAAGACCACTGATAGGGCAAGCCACTTGTATGCAGGTAGCCCTAGACTTACAAGCACAATTGAGCCCAGGTTTCCTCTTGCAAATTTCCAAGAGAGTAGCTAGATACTGGAACAGGAAGAGGAATTTAGGTAACATTGTTTTCAGCCTCTGGTGGATTTTAATCCTTCAGAATTTGGAAAAATCCAAGATAAGAATTTGTTCTAACGATTCTTTGTCTTTTTGCTATAGGTAATATATTTAGTCGGTGTGAGTTTAAATGGACTCCAGGGGATGGTAGAGGACAGGAAGGCCTGGAGGAACGTTGTCCATGGGGTCGCAATGGATCGGACAGGACTTCGCAACTAACAACAACAAACATATTTAGCAAGGAAACTTGATTTAGTCCTTTGTGTGTGTGAGCGTCCATGTGTGTATGTGTGTCGAAATCTTTACTATTTCCAGTTATTATGACCTTAAATCCGTTATTAATGTATGCTTGGTATGTATTTCATTGCAACTAGGAGGCTCATTATAGCAAAGAACTATACCTCTTACTTAGGGACAAACCAACATTATGCTAAATATCTTGTTATTGGTTTCTATGGGAATTTTTTTTTCCAGAGGCTGTATTTTGAGCAATTCTGGACTTTTGCCTCCTTTGGCATTTATCTTCTAAGTAATCATACACAATTTAAAAGATTATATTTGATAAGCACTCGTTTTTTGGCTTACAGCAGTGTTTCATAGCAATATTTTTCTGAGGGTGGAGTCTAGAAAAGCACTGTGAGTCCTTTTCCTGCAAGCTCACCAATTTGATGTCAATACACGATGAACGAAAACCAAAGACCAGGATGAAGCAGGGGTTCTCTTCCTTACTTGCCTTTCAAAGAGACTCCTGTGCCAGATATGGACTGTCTGACCTGAATCTTTTCTGCAAAGGGGGTTACAATATGAGAGGGAGGGAGGCTGTGAGAATGCAGTGGGAGTGATTTACCAGCATCAGGAGGCTAGAAGGGAAAGAAATGGGCCTGTGGTCATTATATCACATTCATACATACATACATACATACATACATACATACATACATACATACATACATACATACATGTGTGTGTACATACATATACATACATACATACATACATATATACCAGAGGTGGGTTCCTACCAGTTTGCACCTATTCGGTAGAACCGGTTCATCAAATCTACCGAACTGGTTAGAATAGCAATAGCAATAGCAGTTAGACTTATATACCGCTTCCTAGGGCTTTC